CCCACTTCCGCCTTCGGGCGTCGCGGGCCCCGGCGGCCTCTGCCCTGGAAGCGCGGGGGCGGGAGGGGTTCTGGGAAATGTAGTTTTCGGGAGCGGCGGCGCGTGGGCGTGGCGCCGGGTGGGCACTTCCGGGTGTTCCGCGGCGCCGGGCCCCGTGCTGGGGCTTGTGCCCGTGGGTCTGGTCGCCCTGAGTGCCGCTTGCGCGCGCGGGACTCGCCGGCCCTCCCTCAGCGCCACACCTCCGCACCCGTGCCCCCGGACACGTCATAAACACTTCAGGGCCGCGCCACCAGCGCCTGAGTCGTCGTCGTCACCCTCACATTCCTCACAGCGAATAATAACAAACTCTTCGCTGCACTTAGGCGTTGTGACCGTTGGCAGCGTTTCCAGCTGGCCTCGCCCCCATCCGCCAGGGTTTTGGATCCTCCCCTCACGCCCACCACCACCGGCAGCAGCCCCGCCGGCTGTGGCTTTGGTGCGACAACCAAGCAAACCTCCATTCCCTCCCACAGAACACAGGCAGAGGGCGACTCACATGCTCATCTCAGTGATTTCGACCCTAAAATGTCCTGTGGCGTCATCTTGATCATAACGTCTGTGAATTTGATACCATTTAAAATAACCACGAAGCCACAGATCAGGGACAAATTTGTCCGTGGAGAGAGACATCAGCTGCCCCCAGAGCATGAAAACCAGCAATTATTTCAGCCGTGACAGTAAACTGAGGTTCGGAATCTGCGCTTTAACGCGCCTTCCCGACCAGCCATCAGCGCGGCCCTGCTGAAGGCGCCCGCCCCGCGGTCCCTGGCCACGGTTCAGACTCCCTAGCCCCCCGGGACGGCAGGACCTGTGTGTCCCCGCAGCTGTCCAGTCTGCGCCACTCCAAGTTAGCAGAGCCCGGCGGCTGAGGCCGGTCGCCCGCGCCGTCCGGCTCTTCGGGCGAGTGTGGCGCAGGGTCTGTGCTGCCTCGGCCTCGGCGTGTGTTTGAGAGTTGTCTGTGTCATGCCACGTGGCGGGAACTCATGCTTCTGACTGCAGTTCCGCACTGTGCCACTCGGTACAAGCTACTCATTCAACTTACTCACTGGGGCATTTGGGTTGTTTGTAGGCTGGCATTTCACAAACACGGCTGCCATGGGTATCCCTGTGCGTGTTTTTGTTGTTCACAGTTGTACATATCTTTTGTTACACGTGTGTGTGTGTGTGTGTGTGTGATTTCAGGGCCATAGAAGTGCACAGGGCCTCATTTAGTGGCTACCGTCAGGCGATTTCCCCAAGTGGCTGCACCCACACGGTTGCGGCTCCTTGCCACGACGTCCCTGCCAGCTCTCCCTTTGCCTTTGTGATGAGCATGCAGTAGTGTCATAGTTTGCTTTTTAATCTTCTAAACTTTGTTTTAAGCTTTTAGAAATATGGAAAATTTGAGGGGAAAAAATGGCGATTTCCTGTGTGTTTCTTCTGGTTTCCTAGTGAGAATGCAGCCAAGCTTACAATTGTTTGCTTTACGTGTGGTGTTTTTCTGTGATGTCCTTCTCACTGTTGGTTTTGATATCTTTCATTCAGACAATTCTTTTTTTTTTTAAGATTTATTTATTGGTGCATACAGAACTGGGATACAGACCAGAGGCTCAGGGGCGGCGAGAGGATTCACCAGAGACAGAGTGGGGAGCAGAACATGCCAACGGACAAAGTACACTGCTGAGGGGAGCAGCGAGCGGGTCAGGAGAGGTCTGCTGGCCATGTGGTCACCTCTAGGCGGGGATCAAACTCGTGATGCAGTGGCTTTAGCTCCTCAGTGCTGTGCTTTAACCCGCTGCGCCACCACGGAGGGCCCATTCAGGCAATTCTAAAAGATTGCTCAAGTAGTGGCTGAAGTGATTTCTCTGCCAACTCTACGCATAGTACGTTGGCCTCATTCACACAGGGACGCTAGCGACAGGCAAAACCCCCATAGTGTGGAAATAGCCCAGGATTCACCCTTTGCACCCTGCTATGTCCCGTGGGAGCTTTTACCACCCTGAACTCGGGCCCAGAGGGCCAGAGAATGAGGACCCAGGGAAGACAGGTCCTCAGTCTGGGATGAGCCTGTTTCCTTCAGAGTCAGACCCTGGGTCCAAGAATAAGATCCCTGGGGGCGAGGGGAAACGCAGGGCGGAGGGCTGCCCTGCCCCGCCTCGGCCGCCAGCCCAGGCTCCCTTCTGAGCTGTGGCCCTTGCGGGTTTGCCTGCCGGGGAAGAGCGGGGCTGATGGGCAACTTTGGAAATTGAACTCCAGGGCCCCAGCGACTTCCCGTCTGAAAAGCAACAGCGGCACTAAGGCCGGCAACCACAGAAAACCCCCCAAACAAAACTACTTCTCTCCCGTTTTGAAGTAAAAGGGCTCAAACAAGGCTCCCGTGTGGATTACGCCTTTTCACTCTTCGTTTTGGGATGATTTTAGACTCACCGAAGATTGTAAAAATAGCACCAACATTGCGTTCCCAGCGCGTGTTTCCTGAAACTTCCCTTTAATGGGAGTATCATCTCCATAGTCAATATACTACCAAAGCCAAGAAGCAGACATTAGAACAAGACTGCAGACTACACATTTTATCGGGATTTAACCACAGAGGCCCGCGCAGAGGGAGCACAGAAAAGCTTCACTTTGGACTAGGGCCCCCTTCCGGGGGCCCTAACTGCGTTAAAAGGGGAAATGGCCCACGTAGAGATAAAGACAATTTATCTCTTCCCAATCTCATACGTGCCAGCTCATTCACAACAATAAATCATGTCAAATAGACACTGAAATATCAACTCGCTGTGTATCTACAGATAGTTTCTCATCGAAGACATTCATAGACTTAATTTATTTTTTTAAAAAATCACTCTGGGACATTACTCTGCAGGGAATCCACATGCACGCATGCATATCCTTTTCTCCACAGTTCAGTAGAAGTGTGACTGTCCTGGTTGTACATGAAACCTCCTGTGGTACTTTTGAAAACCCCCGGGCAGGAGACGCAAACTAGACCAATTATATGCAAATCTCTGGTGGTCAGGTCCAGGTAGAAGCACTTTTCTTGTTTCCCCAATAAACCCAATCAGCTCTAAAAGCTTCTGCAATTAAGAAAGACTCAAGCTGATGTGATCACAAGCTCACAATGAGAAGCAATGGGGGAAGTATCCCCTGCTGAGTTTCAGATCTAGGTTATTTTTAATTTGTGCAGCTCAAGCTGAAAGTGTCTGCTTTCAGTTGTCATCTAAAATGGCTTTGAATTGCAAAGAAAATATAAGAAGCAAAGAAGAAGCAAAGATAATGAGAGGGCTCTTGCAAGACAACTGTCCAACAAAAGTTTGACATTCATATCAATTAAAAAATAACAAAAGGCATTTTCTTTATAATTTCTTCCTGGCTAATTAGTTGTTATGTTATAATCAGACCTAAGAGAAGAAAGTCAAACAGGAGAAAACCCAACAAAGGAATTTAAGCTCCTTCCAAATATTGTTGGTTTTCATATGGAATCATAAAAAAAAAAAAAAAAACCCAAATAGCAAAAGCTTTCCTGACTAAAAGGAGGAAGAGTGGAACTATTACAATTCCAGACTTCAAACAACACTACAAAGCCATTATGATAAAAACAGCATGGTATTAGAACAAACAGACACACAGACTTCAAACTTGATTATCTGAATAAACCAAAACAGCACAGTAATAATCAAAACAGCACAGTACTGGAAGAAAAACAGACCACAGAAATAGAATAAATAGCCCAGAAATAAATCCACACAAATATGGACCATTAACCTTTGACAAAGGAGCCACCAACCATTCATCAGTGCTGTAAAATTTGGACAGCCATGTCTAAAAAAATTAAACTATCAATACATCATTACCTAATTCTACACATGAAAGAAAAGTTTGAAAAATTACTTTTAATTAATTTAAAAATTAATTATAAAGTTTGGATATAAAAACTGAAACCACAAAATACATAAGAGAAATGCTAGTAGCACATTATGGAACATCAACCACAGAGATGTATTTGGGAACACATCTCCAATGGCAATGCAAACAGGCAACACACAAGAAAAATAACTTTCAGAGTCCATGGACATGTTGTGGCTACCAGAGAGGGTGTGTGGGTGGGAGGAGATTGAAAGGAATGTGATCAGGGGTGAGTAGGGGAGTTTCCGTGACACATGAATAAACCATCTGTACATAGGGAAGTGTCAAATTTAGACCCAAAATTAAATATTTATGTATTTGGAAAACCAATTAAATTTGAAAAAAAAATCTGAGACATAAAGACCACCATTTTGTGGGTCACCACAGTGGGCTATTGACCAATACTGTAGTCCATTAGCATATTTGATCTTCTTCAGTCTGGTGCTAGAGATTAGCCCTTCAGGGTTTATGTTTTTCCATAACTGAAGGTTTTTATAAACTGGCACAAAATATCAGTCAATTCAATGGATGCTTACTTGATGGACACATGAGTCCATAATCTGTGACCTCATAAAACTTAATTTCTTAAACAGCCAACGTAGGGTTACCCATGGGTGCCAGCCTATGGCCAACACTCACAGCAAGGGTCTGGCAGCAGGGTCATGTATCTTTGTCACGTTCAAGGATGTCCTTCCATCTTACATCATTGTCCCTTTTCATGTACATGAGTTGGGGGACATTCAAGTTGCTGCAAGATTTGTCCTGAAGACCTTAAATGTCAATACCATGTCAGTTCAGACTTCTGTGTCATGACCCCACGAGACAGAAGTACTCAGGGAATAGAGGGGAAATTGTCAGACAATTTATCTAACAAGGAGACTTGGGAATTGACTTCTTATTGGCCCAGAAATTGTAAATATTCCCTCAGTTCCTTCAGTTTATCCTCCAACTCATCATTTCTTCTTTGGGTCAAGAGCACACCTACCTGGGCCTCTGTGAGGAACCCTTCTGTCTCCAAGATCCAACTTCACTCTCTTGTCTTCTGGAACCACCATTGTTGTTAAACCTCAAGGAGGGAACTAAGGTCGAGTCACGCTTCAGAGATTATGCCAAGACTAGTGAGTGGACTTGGGAAGCATGAGGGTGTGGGGGGAATGACCAGCCATCCTAAGAACTGGCGCCTGGCGGTGGTTTGGGATGGTTGGAGAGGAAGAATCATTGCAGGAGCACTAATTAAAGACTAGTCCCTGACAACCCAGAGGACATAAGTGACTGGATTTAGGGTGTTAGGAAGAAGAAATCGATGCCAAATGAACATAAAAATGGAATGTTCCACTTGTGGAAGCAACTCGGTGATGGACTGACAATAGTAGTGGACGTAACATGGGAGAGTAAAAATTGCAGTCAGGGTATCTCCAATCACAGGTGGCTTCACTCAGAATATGGGGCTTAGGAGCAAAGAACCATTTAGATATGTATTAGGATAGGTAGAAAGGGATGGAAAATAAGGGCTTATTGTAACAATTTATTCTGTGTCTGAGTCTATAGACAATTTTATATAAATCACTTAATCCTCAAAACAGGCTTATAAGTTATACACCATTGCAGTTGCTTCCTTCTGAGGGGGTGAGGTTGTAGCAGGAAGCAACTTCCCCAGGTCACCTACTTGGCCCATGGGTCATCACCAGGATGTTTCTGTCCACAGAAACCCTCTGGGGCGCTGCCACACGTGGTCAAGGCTGTGTGACTCTGAGGTCTGGGCAACTTTGTCTTCTAAAAAAAACCCAGAGGTGTATTATTTCTTCCAAGTATAAAGATAAAGAGAATGAAGTTCAGAGAGATGAATCGTGAGCAGAAGCCAGGATTTGGATCTCGTGCTCTCTGAATCCAGAGTGAAACGTGCTTACCACCACATCACGCTGTAGTTGCATGAATTACACAGGTGAAGAGACAGAATTTGCAGTGAGAAGTTCAGGTATTGTTAGAAAGCTGGAGTTGTAAGTGGGGCCATCAAGTTCAAGTTCACAAATTCTTTGTTCTCTTGAATCAAGTCTGCTGTTGCTACTTCACTGCATTTTCCACTTCACTCCTGACATTCTTCAGTTCCCTAGTTGCTACTTCCTTTTTGATAACATCTCTCTCTCTGTTAAACCTTATTGAAGGTGTCTTGTTTCCTGATTTCTTGATTGTCTTTCTGGGTTTTCTTTATAACTGACCAAGCTGCCTTAAAATGAATATTTTGAATTCATCAGGAGACCACAGATTGCTTTACTTTGGGGTCAGTTCCTTTTTTGGTACCTTGTTTCCTTAAATTTTCCTGTTCCCTGAAATTGTGCCTTCAGTGACTGTGTTAGTCTTCACACTGGAAGACCCAATCCCTTTTCCGTTCTTTATTGACTGGTTTTGGGAGAGAAATGTATTTTTTTTTCTGCCTTCAGGCGATTCTGGGACTTCATCAAAAATTATCTTATCCTTTTAGTAGAAACGGGCTGATGGTGCTTTTCTGGAGGTTGAGGTGTGTGGTCTCAGGGGAGAAGGAGTGTGTCTAAAATGAGACTGTTCTTATGTTTCAAATTGTCCAATATTGAGTTTTTGGTTTTGTTTTTGTGTTTTGCTTCATGGTGCTGGAAATTCTCTCGGAACCCTGGCTCCCACACAGGTGAGCTCATCCATGAGTGATTGTTAAACTTGATGTTCTTTGGAGAAAGATAGTAACGTGTTCCTGTTTCACCATCTTGCTGTTATTACCAGCATTTATTCATTAACTGAAAATAGGATAAAGAAAACATAGAGTAGTTTTAGTAGATCACTAAAATGTCGAATGAATAGTTTTGTTAGTCAAGCTTTCTTTTCTAAACTATGTATTTAATAATATGAAATTACGTTAGTATTGCTTTAGCTACAGTTCCCTTAATAAGTATGTTTTTAAAATATTAGAAATGTTTCCTAATTTCAAGTATTATATCTCTATTTATGCACATTAAGTATGCTTTTTAATGAACGCAAACATAAAGGAAGAGACTGATTACCTTTTTAATAGAGATTTTTATTTAATTACATTTTCTTTGGCATGTATTCTCTGATATTAAGATATTCTTTGTAGCCTAAATTTGTATAGATATCTTTATGGCCCTGAAGATAATTGGTTTATAATTTATTGTAGTGATCCAGCCAACCTGAATGTTACTCACTTTTTATACTCTTGCTGACATTTTGCCCCAATGATATATCAATTATTAAAAAAAAAAGGCATGATAAGAATCTCCTAATTTGTATTTTACAATTTTCCAGTAGTTTTCCAGTTTTTTCTTATATACTCTAGCTTTATTTCCCTGGTAAATTATTCCCTGTATCATTATAAAGGCATCATCCCTCTTACTACCTTTCAGTGTCTCAGTATGTTTTGTCTGCTGTTAATAGACCACCCTGTTTGGCTGTATTTCTGGTCTAGCTATGGCATTCCTCTGTGGCCAAGCATCCTGTGTCACTGCACTTTAGGGATTTCGCTTTCATACCTGGGGTAAGAGGATTTTCTTTCTTTCTCTTTCTTTAGAGTCTTTTTTTGAATTTCACCTATTTCACCTCATCCTCCGTCATCACGATGTGTGCTTCAGCACTCGCGCAGGCCCCAAGGAGTCCGCCCTCACCTGTACCCACCAGCCTGGCGCCTTCTGCTCTCCCCACCATGTTGACCCCACCCCCCACCCACCACCCCCTGAAGATCGTCTCTAGTTTATAGTTGCCTGTTGGTTTTGTTTTTTATTTGTTACACTTACTGCTCCCTGCCTATGGCTTCTTTGTGTCCCTGCATTCCTCCTATGGCTAGTGAACCCACTGGGTGTTTTTCTTTTCCTTTCTTCTTTCATTTCATAGTGTCTCTCTCATGATTAAGGCCATTTAGACATTTGCTTGGGATTCCTCACATAGCCTGACATCATTTCTTTGTATCTTCTTTTATGATTTTTTGGTAAAAATATATTGCTGTAAAAAAAATTGCTATAATACTCCTGTTATCAATTTAGAAGTTTCATAGTCTAGATATGTCATTTCAGTGCTAACACCTAAACTTAATCATGAATACTGTGTGTAGAAAGTCACAAACATACAGCACTCTTTTCTCATGCAGATCAATGCAAGAAGCTCACGTTATATTCTCGCTCCTTTTCTTTTATACCACTTTGCCTAGTAGTTTAGTCCACTTTGTGAACATGTACAAAATCGAAATTATTAAGCAGTTTAAAGCCCTTTTTTTTCATTTTTTTCAAATATAAACCAATGGCTCGCTTGACCACTGTGTCGTGGCTATCACTACTTTCTGTACTGATTTTCTTTATTCTAAAGTAAACTCTCCATGGATTTTTTTTTTAAACAACAGTTTGTGCCAGACACATTGTCTCCATATTTGTGTGATATGAAAGTATTAAAGGAGACTCCTGGGGCCAAGGCTTGATTTATTAGATGCTTTAAAATTCTATCAATGACTCATGATGCAGTACTCCTGCAAACCTGGTAGCAACGATGCACATAGAAAACTGGTGTGAGGTCCTCTGACCTTCCAGAATATTCTCCATTGCGTTCACAGAACTTCCCGTTTTTAATACTTTAAGAGGATCGCACCCATGGATGCTTGGAACCAAACCAGCGCGCTAGAATTCATCCTCCTGGGCCTCACGGAAAACCCAGACCAGGAGACCCTGCTCTACGTCCTGTTCCTCTTCATGTACATGGTCACGGTGCTGGGGAACCTGCTCATCATCGTGGTCATCAGCTCCGACGCCCACCTGCACACCCCCATGTACTTCTTCCTGGCCAACCTGTCCCTGGTTGACTTCTGCCTGGCCACCAACACTGTCCCCAAGATGCTGGTGAACATCCAAACCGGGACCAGGTCCATCTCCTACCCCTGCTGTCTGACCCAGATGTACTTCTTCCACTTCTTCGGCATCATGGACAGCGTCCTGATAGCCGTGATGGCCTACGACCGGTTCGTGGCCATCTGCCACCCGCTGCACTACGGCGCCATCATGGGCCCGCGGCTGTGCGGCCTGCTGGTGGGCGGCCCCTGGCTGCTGTCCGGCGTCCTGTCGCTCACGCACATCCTCCTGATGGCGCGCCTGGCCTTCTGCGGCAGCCACGTGCTCCCGCACTACTTCTGCGACCTCACGCCCCTGCTCAGGCTGTCCTGCACGGACACCACCGTGAACCGGGCGTTCGTGCTGGCGGTGGCGGGCCTGGTGATCGCCGCGCCCTTCGCGGGCATCCTGGCCTCCTACGCCCGCATCCTGGCGGCCGTCCTGAAGGTGCCCTCCGCGGGCGGCAGGAGGAAGGCCTTCTCCACCTGCGGCTCCCACCTGGCCGTGGTCGCCCTGTTCTTCGGCACCACCATCGGGGTCTACCTGTGCCCGTCGTCCGTGCGCACCGCCGTGAAGGAGAAAGCCTCGGCGGTCATGTACACGGCCGTCACCCCCATGCTGAACCCCTTTATCTACAGCCTGAGGAACAGGGACCTGAAGGGAGCCCTCAGGAGGCTCGTCAACAGGAAAGTCACTGCGGCGTCCTGACGCCTGGACACGCGGGTTCCCCGGAGGGGCCGGGGGCGCCCGGCGCTGAGGCAGACTCTGGGTGCCCGGGCGGGGTGTCGCTGGGCTTCTCCACTGAGGAAGCTTCCGGGGAACGTGGAGCTGGACGGGAACCGGCCCGTCAGCGAGTGCGACCTGAGCATCCATCTATCTTCCAGAAAGGTCAGGGTGGTGGGAGGGACTGGCCCTGGCGCAGTGCCCACTTAGAAACACTCAACACTTGATATCGAATAAGGATTCTGAGCCTGATGTTAGGTCCTGGCGTAGCGCGTGAGCAAGAGATAAGTGTCTGGCCTTAGACTGCGGGACAGCTCAGCTGCCATAAGCCGTGTTGAATATGGGAGAAAAGACAGAACACAGAAGGGCCTCTGACGAGCCGGGGAGGGGGTCAGGGAGACGAGACCCAAAGGCCAAGGCGCTGTTGTTGAGGCAGCACAGGAGAGGACGCAAAGTGACAAGTAGAGAGAAGCTCCAGTGAGGTGGGAAAGGGATGAGGGGGGTGCCAGGCCGCGAGGGGCTTCAGCCCCAGCGTGGCCTTCCTGGAAGGAAACGTGAATCTGATTTCGGGGCCGAGGAGGCCTGCCCCATACGCACTCCTGCGTGCTGGGGAGAGACAGTGGAGGCGCAGGGGGAGATCGTCAGACTGCTGGACAGACCAGTGAGTGAGCGGCACCGTGAAGTGGAAAATACCTTCGGGGCCTCCCTGGTGGCACTGCAGTCCCAGCGCTGTCAGGCCATCAGCAGCCACTGCGGCCGAGTGCGACCCCGCCCTGGAGCGGACCCCCGGGCGCCGCAGACCCCTCCTGTCTCCCCGCTGCCCCTCAGCAGTGGGTGTCAGTGGCTCCGCCTGTCCTGCTCCCCACTCTGTCTCTGGGGCGTCCTCTCACCCCCCGCACCTCTAGGCTGCACCCCAGTTCTTGTATGTGTAAATAAATCAATCTTTAAAAGAAAAAAATGCCAAAGGAACGGTGACTCTAAACCAGAAGGAGGCTTGACCTGCCTCACTGCCAGGTGTGGAGAGCAGAGCAACACGCTTCGCCCGCAAGCGGGAGGTGTTCGCTGCTCTTTTCCATGTCCTTTTCTCTCTCGGTGTGCAGCGACTCTTTCCATCCTTTAACACTGCTCTGAAGCCACGAGCTGTGTGGATGCCGCCGCAGTCAGACGTCGTCCTGACGGGACGGGACCTGGCCAGAGCCCTCACACGGTGCTAAGGAGCTGACATCATCTTAACCACACGGCTGGGGCCGTTTTCCTTCCCAAGGAGTGAACTGGACTGCCCAGGTGGGATGAAAAGGCCCCCAGATTTGCCCTGCTGCCTCCTGGAGGGGTGATAAAGGTCTACTTCCCAGTGGGTAATAAAACCAAATTTAAGAACGCTGGCGTTTCTTCGGAGGAACTCTGAGTCTGGCTGTGATCTCTGGAATCAGCTAAAGGCACGTACAAACCAGTCTGTTCTCCTGCCACATTTGAGCGAGGGGTCACACACAGGGTGATGTTCGCAGAGACTTGAGAAACTGTTAGAATTTGGGGGCTCATCAAATTTGTAGAAATCTTCTTTTATATATTCACCCCAACGCATGAGGCATTTATCTCGCTCCTTCCCTGCAGTGAAAAGTACCTCACAACAATAAAAATGTCTTAAGATTTTGTCAGCCAAACTATTTTTGTCTTGTTTTGTATTAAGAAACTAAGTCCACTGCCCCAGGAAAGATTTATCCCGGCAGCTTTTGCAATGTTGACTCCATTTCTAGGCATCGACATGTTTTATTCCTTCATTTACCCATGCATTCAGCAGACAGTCACCAAGGCTTCCTCTCTGCCAGTTATTGCTTAAACATTGAGACTAACATGGAAGACAAGGGAAAACCGAGCCTGAACGCCTGTGACCGCTAAGGTTACGGAGAGATGTTCTCAGGGTCAGCGGTTCTGCACTTGATTTCAGGACCCGACTTTGAAGGGGCAGGAACATGCCACCGAACTGCACTTTGCAGATTTCACGCATCTGTGGATGAGACAGCGGCCGGCAGCAGGTGGGTGTGTGTGGTTGATGTGTACACACCCGGTGGAGCACTACTGAGCCCTGAAAAAGACAAGCTGCATTTGCAGCAACATGGGTGGCACTGAAGGGTAGGTTACCCCAGCACAGTGAGTCAGGGGAAACACAAGTAATGGATGGTGTCGTTTGTATATGGACAACGATGGACCAAACAGCCTTGGACAGAGTCAAACTCCAAGCCAGCCTCGAGAGCTGATGGCCGAATTGAGACATCAGAGGAGGGAGAGTCTGAGCAAAGCGGGAGACAGCACCTGGCCCTGGGGTGTGGGCGTCCAGGCGCCCTGGCGGTGAGCAAAACAGGGGCTCCTTTACCCCCAAATACAGCCACCGCGAAGGCCAGCAGCCTCATGAGAACAAAAAAGGGGACAATCCACTAAAACTAAACTACAGGAAGCAAAACAAGATCCCAGCTGCAAGGGAAACGGCAAAAATGGAGAAACGCGCGGGGCGATTCTGATGCCACAGGGGCTTCCCGCGCGCGGAGACGGCGGCTGGCCACCTGGGCTGGCGGGGCTGGTGTCCCCGCGTCCCCGTCCAGCGTCCCGCGTCGGGGCAGCGACCTCCAGGCGGCAGTCCGCAGGGGGTGGGGTGAGCGGTGTCTAATCAGGCTCCGAGCAGTCGTCCAAGTTCTGTTTTCCTCTCGGTGCCAAGATTTGTTCCCTTCCCGGCTCGGAACCAAATCCTGCGAGTGTACGACGAAATTCAAGTTAGCCCGACTCAGTCAGCGCGGACCACGGCATCGTCCCTGCGGTCAGGGGGCGGC